AAACCTGAAATTCAAGGCATGGGTTAGGTCAAACGATGAGCAGGACAGGAGGGTGTAGGCAAGAGCCAGGAACCAAACAAAGTCAGAGTATAGAAGGGCTGAAAAAGAGTTCCAGAGGCTGGTTGCAAGTGAGGTCAAGTCAAACTCAAAGGCGTTTTACCGCTATGCAAATTCGAAATTAAAAACGCGAGTAGGAGTATCGGACCTGAGGCTTGAAGACGGTAGCTACGCAGATTCTGCATGACCATGCCAGGACAAAGCTGAGGCATTGAATAGTTTCTTTTCTTCGGTGTTCGCAAGAGAGGATGCGATTAATCTTCCTGCGTTCGAGGACAATGGTTCGACACAGCACTGACCCACATTGTGTTCACAGAAAAGGTTATAAGAAATAAACTCTCAAAGCTAAAGGTTCATAAGAGTCCCGGCCCTGTCAAGGTGCATCCCAGAGTGCTAAGGGAGTTGTGCAACGAGCTTGCTGAGCCCCTGAAGATCCTGTTCTGTAAATGCCTGGATGAGCAAAAGGTCCCCAGTGATTGGAAAATGGCTTATGTTTATAAATGTGAACTGATTTAAGTAAAGTCCAGCGCTTGATGTGTTTCTTTGGCCACAAAACATCCTCCTTACCTTCAAGAATGTTGGTGGCACAGCGGTAACTCGCATAACTCTTACCAATATGTCAAGGGTTCGAGCCTCGGCCTGGACACACGTGAGAAGGGTGTTATCCAGTGTGACCTTACCAAACATCACAGGTTTCCCGGTCCCGGTTGCTTCCTGTACTAACACTGGATAGACCGCTCAAACGGATAGTAAACTGACAAGTGGCGAATATGATAAAAAAAAAAAGAAGGGCGATCGTCACTCCACGAAAAACAAAAGACCAGTGAGCCTAACAAGCATAGTATGTAAAGTACTTGAGATCATTATAAGAGATGCCATGATGAAACATCTATAGTTCTACGAAACAATCTTACTTTTACTTTTTACTTTTATCCTCTTCGCCACGGGTCCGATTAATTACCCAAATGTACCCAAATGTAGCCGCAATGAAGTCAAATAATGGTCCTTCATGAATAAATCGGGTTACCAATCACTTTTCGACTGGTATTTGGTGTCACGAAGTCACAAAAAATTGGTAAACTTAATTTAATCCGAGTTAATAGATCGAGTACATGTACCTAACCTAACTTAACCTCGACTAGTATTTGGTGTCACGAAGTCACAAAAAATTGGTAAACTTAATTTAATCTGAGTTAATAGATCAAGTGCATGTACTTAACCTAACCTAATCTAACCTAACCTAACACAACTCGGATTAAATTAAGTTTTGACTTCATTGCGGCTACATTTGAGTAAGTACTCGCTCCCTCGGTACATGCACGCTATCTATAAACTCAGATTAAATTAAGTTTACCAATTTTTTGTGACTTCGTGACACCAAATACTAGTCGAGAAGTGATTGGCAGTCCGATTTATTCATGTAGGACCATTATTTGACTTCATTGCGGCTACATTTGGGTAATTAGTCGGACCGCTTCGAGGCCACTGATCGGCTTGTTAGCCGCTTGGGCGATCGGTCACGTCTCTGTCACGCACTGTTGGCAAATACTGGCATGCACCGGCTCCTGAATGTACCTGAACTCGCCCCAGTGTTGGTCAAGTCTTGTCTTGAAAGAGCTCACACTCGGTGCCGTCACAACACTCTCTGGTAGATTGTTCCAAGAGTTTACAACCCTCACTCCAAAAAAGTTTGCCCTCGCGGTTTTCTGGAGAAACAGCTTCTTCAATCTTGAGCTGTGACTCCTTGTGGGGCGAGCGTCCGCCAGCTCCAAGTAAGGACACTCAACTGAGTAGTGCCCCGAGATGCTTATACACCTCAACTAGGTCCCCCCTTGCCCGTCTGTAGTATAAGCTAGGCAAGTTCAGGCGCTCCAATCTCTCAGGGTAGCTGAGGTGCCGAAGTGCAGGCACCAGTCTGGTGGCCCCCCTCTGAACATTTTCAACCAACTGACAGTCCCTAGCATATCTCGGGGACCAGATGGGGTGACAGTACTCCAGATGGGGAAGCACTTCACTCCTGAAGATCGTTACGAGGGACGGGCGTCTAGATATCTGAACGACCTTCTTGTAAGACCCAATAATTTATTTGCCTGATTTACCGTCTTCTCACAGTGGCCCGAGAACTTCAGCTCATTGTCAACATACACACCTAGGTTCTACTCTCACACAGTCTCAACTAGCGCAGTTTCTTCATCCCGTTGGGACATATGATACGCCTCCTTACCGTTGGTACGCCCCAGGTGCATCCTCTTACACTTCGTGACATTGAATCTCAGCAGCCATTTCTTCGACCATTCCTGGAGCCCACAGAGATCCTTTTGCAGCTCTTCACAGTCCGCTTGGTTCTTAATTTCCCGAAATAACTTGGCGTCATCGGCAAACATTTGTATGGAGGAGTGTACAACGTCAGGCATGTCATTTATGAAACAAACAAACAACAGCGGGCCCAATACACTGCCCTGTGGTACCCCACTTGTGACAGGTGCAGGTGACGATTTCTTACCATTAATCACCACACACTGCTTGCGGTCATGTAGAAAGTCTTCTATCCACTCTAGGACATTTCCCCGAATTCCGTACCCTTCCAGTTTGATTTTAAGCCTTTCGTGGGGTACACTGTCGAAAGCCTTGGCAAAATCTAGGAAAATATTGTCGATATTACCACCCCGTTCCAGAATATGCCAACACGGTTTTATGCCGGGGTGCTCTTGTTTATCACAATTACTCAAGGTACTGGATATTTGGACCCAAATTCTGAAACTTTTTTTTACTTTTATCCTCTTCGCCACTGATCGGCTTGTTAGCCGCTTGGGCGATCGGTCTGACTCTTTTCCTTTATATTCTTCACCAAAAGGTCGGCTCGCTAGCCGCCCGGGCGATCGGTCACGTCTCTGTCACGCACTGTTGGCAAATACTGGGCATGCACCGGCTCCTGAATGTACCTGAACCCGCTCCAGTGTTGGTCAAGTCTTCTCTTGAAAGAGCTCACACTCGGTGCCGTCACAACACTTTCTGGTAGATTGTTCCAAGAGTTTACAACCCTCACTCCGAAAAAGTTTGCCCTCACGGTTTTCCGGACTTGCGGCTTCTTCAATCTTGAGCTGTGACCCCTTGTGGGGCGAGCGTCCGCCAGCTCCAAGTAAGGACACTCAACTGAGTAGTGCCCCCTGAGATGCTTATAAACCTCAACTAGGTCCCCCCTTGCCCGTCTGTAGTATAAGCTAGGCAAGTTCAGGCGCTCCAATCTCGCAGGGTAGCTGAGATGCCGAAGTGCAGGCACCAGCTTGGTGGCCCTCCTTTGAACATTTTCAACCAACTGACAGTCCCTAGCATATCTCGGGGACCAGATGGGGTGACAGTACTCCAGATGGGGAAGCACTTCACTCCTGAAGATCGTCACGAGGGACGGACCGTCTAGATATCTGAACGACCTTCTTATAAGACCCAATAATTTATTTGCCTGATTTACCTTCTTCTCACAATGGCCCGAGAACTTCAGCTCATTGTCAACATACACACCTAGGTCCTTCTCACACACAGTCTCAACTAGTACATTTTCTTCATCCCGTTGGGACATATGGTACGCCTCCTTACCGTTGGTACGCCCCAGGTGCATCCTCTTACACTTCGTGACATTGAATCTCAGCAGCCATTCCTTCGACCATTCCTGGAGCCCACAGAGGTCCTTCTGCAGCTCTTCACAGTCCGCTTGGTTCTTAATTTCCCGAAATAACTTGGCGTCATCGGCAAACATTTGTATGGAGGAGTGTACAACGTCAGGCATATCATTTATGAAACAAACAAACAACAGCGGGCCCAATACACTACCCTGCGGTACCCCACTTGTTACAGGTACAGATGACGATTTCGTGCCATTAATCACCACACATTGCTTGCGGTCATGTAGAAAGTCTTCTATCCACGCTAGGACATTTCCCCGAATTCCGTACCCTTCCAGTTTGATTTTCCAGGGTGGTAATATCGACAATATTTACCTAGATTTTGCCAAGGCTTTCGACAGTGTATCCCATGAAAAGCTGAAAATTAAACTGGACGGATGCGGGAAATGTCCTAGCCTGGATCGGAGACTTTCTCCATGACCGCAAGCAGTGTGTGGTGAATAATGGCACGAAATCATCATCTGTACCCGTCACAAGCTGGGTACCACAGGGCAGTGTATTGGGCCCGCTGTCATTTGTTTACTTCATAAATGACATGCCTGACGCTGTACATTCCTCCATACAAATGTTTGCAGACTGTGAAGAGCTGCAGAAGGATCTCTGAGCTTCAAGAATGGTCGAAGAAATGGCTGCTGAGATTCAGTGTCACGAAGTGTAACAGGTTGCACTTGGGACCTTCCAACGGTAAGGGGGCGTATCATATGTCCCAACGGGACGAAGAAACTGCATTAATTGAGACTGAATGTGAAAAGGACCGAGGCATGTACGTTGACAATGAGCTGAAGTTCTCGGGCCATTGCGAGAAGGTAAATCAGGCAATTAAATTATTAGGTCTTATAAGAAGGTCGTCCCTCGTAACGATATTCAAAAATTAAGTGCTTCCCCGTTTGGTCCCCGAGGTATGCTAGGCCCAAGGGACTGTCACTGTCAGCTGTTTGAAAATGTCCTCAGGGGGTAACTACCAGACTGGTGCTTGTGTAGCAGTGAAGTCAGGTAAAAATGAAGTGTTTGTCCAATATATCGTACGGTACTTCCGGCCAACCGACCGCTGTCCAATAGATAGTCTTTGGCCGCTGTCCGAATTAGTCGTACGTCTGGCACTTCATTTTTACCTAACGCTTCACTTTTAACTGCTACACCGAGGCAACTTTGGTCCGCCACACCGGGCATTTCGCTGATGACAGGGACGAAGCAACTCAAGTTTTAGATTATTAGCAATTCAAAGATTTTCTTTTTTCAGACATGGTAAGGCGAATGTCTGAGGGTACTTCGGACAACTGGAAATTGCTTTTCATCGTATACTTACGAAAATAGAGCGAGTTTATATAGGCGTTAAGCATCACGGCCGTTGCTGGTGAATTGTGACGTAATTCTGGTTTTTCTTATATTTGGGCCAATATTATTGTTTTTGTTTTGTCAGACGTGGCAAGAACAATATCTCAGTGTCTTCTGGATGGCCTGATACTGACGATATTGCAGAATAAAGAAACTACAAGAAATTACCCCTCGCATCGTGAAACAAGCGCCGTGGTGACACCTCAAACCCACGTATGGATGTACTTAACTTAATTTTTTCAAGATTATTAAAGATGTTCAGAGTTCATTTTGGCCACATATAGCAAGACGAATGTCTCAGCTTCCTGTAGATACCGAATATTGATAAATATTCCAGAATTAAGGAGATACAAAATAATCATGAACTCTTGCAGACATTTATCCATTTATCACAAGTTTTCTTATCTCTCTGAGAAATTTGTAATACTTGTTGTGCTCTCTGCTTGGGGTTTGGGCTTTGCTGGTGCACCTGTATATTTCACAAATAACCATAATTGTTGACACACTGGTCCCGGGACCAGACGCGGGCAAACAAGGAGGTCACCAGATGATTCGTGGTTACAACAGTGAGTCACTGCACACGTGACCACACACAACTTATGCATGTGGGTAAAACAAGTGCTTGGTGAACTATCCTTACTGTAATCCTTGATGTTGGCAGGCAGAATAAAGACACTCATTGATAGTCTTAGTACTTTAGTCGGTAAGAAAGACATTGGTAATTTTAGTATGGAATTATCGTGCTCTCAGATTATGAACTTAAAATTATCGCTTAACTTGTCGAGAGTAAAAATTTCTTAGGCATACGATAATTATCTTGGTTGGCATGCAGCGGTGAGTGTCAGGGGCAACTATCAGTTGATTCAAAACAATACAGGTTTCAGCAGGCGGTGTTGGTATCCATGTTTCAGTAATATATTGTGTGGTTTGGTGAAAAATATATTCCTCATATCTTGCCACTTCGCGTACATGACTAATATTTTATGACCACATTAGACACATGATATAGTGTGAGGTGAGTGTCATTGATAATGTACCTAGACTGATTTTCAAAGTTATTTTTCAAGTTGATTAATGAATTGTTGTAGTCAAGGCTGTTCTTTGGTGTTATTTTAGTTTCGGTCATCCCGGGAATCCTAGGAATTAGGTTAGGTTAGATATCCAAACTGTTTTTCCGATGGTTTTTTATGTTTTGAACAATTTGGACCTTCATATCTGTCGGAAATCACATAGTTTGAATATCTAAATACAAGGGTGACCTAAGGTAACATTTTATCAAGGCCTTTTAGGTTATATTTGGTGTTGTATTTTCAGCCAATATGCAGCCGAAGGTTTGAATTATCTCACTTATTCAATTGCGACAAGTAAAAGTAGGGTTCAGAAGATAGTTTGCATGAGATCTATTAATTTTTTAAGTAAAAAAAACCTTTGCATATTGGTTGAAAATGCAACAATACAAAGTTATTCATTCTAGGTTAGATTAGGTTAGGTTAGGTTGTTTTTTAATTGAGTAATGTGTTTTTTTCCTATGGATTTTGATGTGTTTTATTCGATTTTAATATTATAGTTGGAAAAAGGGTGGGGGAGGGGGACTGCTAGCTTAAAAGCAAGTAATTTCCAACAAAAAATCAACCTCAGATTTGAATTAAAATTAAAAACCTTCAGAAGAACTTATTGCTCAACTTGAGAACCATATTGGTTGAAAATGCAAATTTACCTTTTACATAAATCCCCACAAAACACACCTCTCAAATATAACTGAACTATACCAGATCTATACATGTAGTATGGGTAATTATTTACGACTTCCACTGACTTTTCATAGAAAATGAATTTAAAAACCTGCAATTTCACTATTTTATAGTGGCCACACACAGTTATGGCAATTGTGTTAAAAAGTGTTTATTTAAAAGTTCAATTTAACCTAACCTAGCCAAACCTAACCTAACCTAACTTAGTTTAGCATAACTTAATACCTGCTGTGGACAAACTTACTGTTACTGAGATGGGGTGAGCGGCTGTGAAATCGTCCATATTAGCTCTAGTCTGTTCATTTGAAGCTTACAACTGAGGCCAAGGGTTAGTTTGTAACGAGGCAGCCAATTGGCTGGCAGACATGTGGCAAAAGTCACTACAGTTCTTTACTATTTAATCTGGAACTATTCGGTATTACTGCCTTCTCGATTTCAGCATGAAACTTATTTTTCTGGTGTATTTTGGTATTTTCTATGATTCTTACCTTCATTTCCTTGGGAAAATTGTTATTTTTAGGAAATGAGAAAATTATAATTTTCAAAGAAAATAAAGGTGAGAATTGAATAAAACACCAGAAAATATATTTTCATGTTGACAATTTCGGAGGACCCGTAGGGAATTGGTGGTTTTTAGGTAAGAAGGAAAATATTTGGTCAATATTCACTGATCCAGATTAAACTAACCGAACCTAACCTATCTTGGACATAGCGCTGCCTTTCCTAGTTGGGGGTAAATCCCTCCTGACCTCCGTGAATGTATCTTGAGGCTTACCTTTGGACTGCACATAATACATTGTGATGGTTAGTAAAGTGGTGTCAGCTATTGGTTAGTTCTTACTTGCCATATGGTGATTGGTCAATGGCTGGGGGATTGTATTTATTTATTTATTTATTTTTATTTTTATTTCATAATTTCTCCCAAAACAATGACTTTCCATGAATGTTGAAGGTTACTTTAAGGCATCACAAGTGAAAAACAGAAGAAAAAATCCCATTTGTATTTAAAACAAGTTGGGAGTAATAGTGAATAATAACCTTTATTCTATCATATTTAAATTCTGATAATTTAAGGGATAATTATTATTTTATGTTGATCTTTGATATTTTCCGCACTTGGAGAACCAAAAACTATCATGTGAAATGCTCTGGCAATGTGAATATCTTTACTAATGGGTAAATCCAGACTGTAGGGTGGAGGAAATGGAAAAAATAAATCAATTAAAATAAACCTGTCCTATCATTTTTATTAGCTACTTACTATCATATAAAGAACATCTCTTCTGGTGTTAGCCATCTCCTTCACTATCACCATGTGTCCTGAGCCACTGCACATTACTGTACTATATGACACTTATCCTGTGCTAGTCATCTTATCTGTTCTGCATTCACTTGAATAATTCACTCAGCTGGTGAAATAGGCTGTAGCTATTGCAATAGTAGTGTACTGTATTTTCCACTTTCTATGCGAAATGAACCATATCCTTTTCCATGGGCAACTGGGCATAGCAATGGCTCTCACCACCACAAAAATGTGTCCGTATTTCCCACAGTTTGTAAATCTAAGTATGAGAAAAAAAAGTTTAACTCATATTTTATGTAAACTGAAGCTTTGTCAATTGGGAACTGCCCGTACTACATTGAAAGTTCTCTCTATCTCGTTTTTTTTTTTTTTTTTTTTTTTTTTTTTTTTTTTTTTTTTTTTTTTTTTTTTTTTTTAATACAGCCAGGATGAGTATTTCATTAATTCGGGTGAAAGGCCCCAGTGAGGACGAGTTTGTAGAACAGCACAGCAATCAGGAGATACCTATATCTCCACCAGTTGTCTTGGGAAGAGGATCTCTGTTGAAGGTAAGTACTGTACTGTAAAGAAGTTTACTCTTAATTTGTCTGCCGGGCTGGCAATTAAGAGATCTATTAGGGAAGATATTGTCTTATAAGTACTGTACTGTGCACTACAGTATTTGTGATCGCATGAAGATTAGCCCTCAACTTATTTCACCTGATGATTACACACACACACACACTTACTGTAATATACTGCAATATGGTGTACTTGAGGTGGTTAAGTTAGATTAGATTAACATTGGATTGGGTTAGGTTAGCATTGGGTGGTTAATGCACAGGGTAATGTGAAAAAACTGGGGAGGCTAATCTTGGTGATTCAAGTACAGGGGGCCCCCAAATTCGCGGGGGTTAGGCTCTCAAATTGGCCGCAAATAACATTTGGGGACCGGTAGGGGGGAGTGGTTACATTTTTACTTGTGTACAAAGAAATGTAAACCCTTCTGTCCCCGACTTACGACGGGGTTAGGGACCGACAACCAGGTCGTAAGTCGAATTGGTCGTAAGTCAAAAATGCGAAAATAATACACATAAAATCTAAAATGAAATATGGTACAATAAAAGTAATCATTATTGAAAAATTAATAGTGTTACTGTGCACTCACCTTTAATGTAGTCAGCTGAATGCACACGGGGCCTCAATAATTTTTTAATTAAACATGGAGACCACATTAATTGGATGAAGCAGAGGAGGAGACAGGGCTGGGTGGGTCATCAATTTCGCTTTCCTCAGACAGGCTAACATACTTGCTTGTTGAAGGTATTTGATCATCTTTAGGGAGTGAAGAGGCAGCACTGGTGGGGCATGAGGAGACAGCAGTGGGGGACTTCTTAAAATATATGTCCAATTTAGACTGCACAGTTTGCCTTTTCTTTTCATTGTAAATCTCCCTGTAGCAAGCAAGTGCATGTTGGATCATTCTGTCAACTTTTGCAAAACGCTCAACATTTTATCCATTTCGTCAAACATTTGCCTCCCTTTATTAATAGTAGCAAATGCCTCTGCCATTTGTTTCATTGAAAATTTGTCGGGGGGTGCAGGTTCTTCTTCTACATTTTGTCTCTTCTTCCTCTGCAATTTTCTGTGCATCCAGTTCAATAAGATCCTCATTACTTAGCTCTTCTGCTACACTTTCCACCAACTGCTCAACATCTTCATTATCAATTTCTAACTCCAGCTGTTTACCCAACTCCACTATCTTGTTACTAATCTCAGAAATTGCTTCATCTTCATTACCCGGTAAATCCTTTGAAACTGTTCACATATCTTTTCAGGACCACCTTCCATATTCCATTCATGCACTGACCTGTAACCTCATCCCATGCTGCAGCTATGTTCTTTATACATTTCAAAATGTTGTAGTCCTTCCAAAACTCTGAGCGTTTTCTCACCTTCAGTAGCAGCAACAGCCTGAAAGAAGGTTCTATGTAAATAATACGCTTTAAAAGCAGCAATAGCATCTTGATCCATGGGTTGGATGATAGAGGTAGTGTTAGGTGGAATGTAGACTACCTTGACAATCAGGGTGCAGGTAATCCAGGTGTGGTGGGTGTCCCAGAGCATTATCTAAAATTAATAAAATCTTGAACGCAACCCCTTGTTGCAGACAATACTCCTTGACTCATGGAATGAAACAATTCAGGAACCAATCCTCAAACAGTGCTAGGGTCATCCATGCTTTCTTATTACTGCGATAAAACACTGGCATTGTGTGCTTGCTGACATTTTTAAAAGACCTGGGGTTCTCTGGATAATATATCATGAAGGGTTTTACCTTGAAACCAGCTACATTCCCCCCCAACAGAAGTGTGATTCAGTCCTTGAATCCCAGCATGGTTTTCGCCTCTTTGTGGATGTATGTCCGTTCTGGCATGTGCTTCCAGAATAAGCCAGTTTCATCCGCATTAAATATTTGCTCAGGCAAATAATTTCCCTCCACGATGACACGATCTAGCTCCTCCTTAAAAGCTTCGGCAGTACCCACATTAGCACTTGCTGCCTCTCCACTCACCTTTACACTGTGCAAACTGTAACGGTTCTTAAACCTTTGGAACCACCCGTGACTTGCTGTGAAGGTTTGGTCGTACTCATCTGCCTGCTCTTTCAGGCTTTCGAAAAGGCTTTTTGCCTTAGCCTGTATGGTTAGAAGGCTTAAGGGTACACGCTTTTGCATCTGATCTTCCATCCACACACAAGTAAATTCTCCATCTCATGAAGGGGACCTTGTCTTTTTTTCGTTATTATTGTTCCCTTTATAGGTGCTGATCCTTTCACTACCTCACGAACTCGTTCCTTGTCCTTCAGAATTGTTGATACCGTCGAGTGAGAAAAGCCTAGGTCACGTGAAGTGGTTGCTATTGTTTTTCCATTTTCATATTGCATAATTATTTTAATTTTCATCTTAAAAGGTTCCATTCCTTGCTGGTACCTACACGTACCTGCTGTAACATCCTCTTTAACTATTGGATAAAGTTAGAATTTATTGATACAATACGGTAGTATACAGTACAGTACTGTATTTTGGTTAGGTGTTTTGAAATTTATTGACAGTACAGTACAGTATAGTATTCTAGTTCGGTGTTTTGTATTACAGTTTTGTGTTGTGTTTTGTAATGGGGCCATCCTAATACAGCACATGGTATAATACAGATGTAATTATTGTACTGTAAGTGTATGTACAGTATGTTGGGATTACAGTCGACCCTCGTTAATTCGGACCCCTTTAATCTGGATTTCGGATAATTCGGACAATTTTTTTTTTTTTTTTTTTTTTAAGATTTGTAGGAATATTACCTACGCGGACCTTAAGCTAAAATGCTGGTCCACCCACTGCTGGGATAAAACATGTAACATCTCCACCACTCGTGTGGAGGGGGGGGATATGACTTTAGCTTCAGACATGAAAAATATTTACCATTTACTGCCAGTAAACAATGGAAACGTAAAATATGTACCAATTAGTAATGAAAAGTTGTGCAGTTCCTTCAGCAAATGAAGCTCACCAACTTACAATAGGCTAAATTACCTTACAACGTGTTTTCAGTAGTCCATGTTAAAGTCCTTAGCTCAGGCTAACTTATCATATCATATACGGAATCACAGTTCTCATTGATCTACAAAAAATACCGGTAATAAAAACCTTTTCGATATTTCACACTTAATATAATACCCGGTAATCTACTTCAACCTCCTATTGCTTACAAAGACGCATGACGCACCACCAGCTGTTGAGTATCAGCTAGACGATACACGTGTTTTTCGAATCGTTTTCAGTTAAAAAACTGTTACATTACATGTATATTTTACCTTAACTGTGCCTGAATGAATATATTCTCGGAAATAAATAGTAGTTTTGCTGAAATGTGATGTTTTTAATGTAAAATAGGATAAAATACATGACGAAAACAAAAGATTTTACCTAACCTTCCGATGTTCAAGAGAAGTTACTCGTTCTTTTAATAGTTTTTGGCTAAAATACCGTTATATTACAATGGTATTCTATTCATACTGTGCTTGATATAATGCACTCACGGAAATGTAATATTTTTGCTGAAATGACGTACGTATTACAGTGGAAAGTGGGATAAAATCTTGACGAAAACAATGACTTTCGCTTTCTTTCGTTCAAAAGATGTTACCGTAATCGCTTTTCGATTGGTTTTCAGTTTAAAAACTGTTATTACAATAATATTCTATCTTAATTGACTTGAATAGATACTACGATACCATATTTCTGAATATTTTCATTAAAATCCATCCAAATCATTTTCCTTGTCATCGTCTGCAGCACCAAACAGCTTCTCCCAGTCCTCTCCTTGAACAGGGCTAGAGGGTACGTGTTTTTCGAATCTTTTCAGTTAAAAAACTGTTCCATCACACGTATGTTTTACCTAAACTGTGCCTGAATGAATATATTCTCGGAAATAAATAGTAGTTTTGCTGAAACGTGATGTATTTTAATGTAAAATAGGATAAAATACATGACGAAAACAAAAGATTTTACCTAACCTTCTGATGTTCAAGAGAAGTTACTCGTTTTTTTAATGGTTTTCGGTTAAAATAATGTTATATTACAATGATATTCTATTCATACTGTGCTTGATATAATACATTCACGGAAATGTAATATTTTTGCTGAAATTACGTATGTATTACAGTGGAAAGTGGGATAAAATCGTGACGAAAACAATGACTGAAATATGCAATATTAACCCCTAAATCGGTTAATTCGGACAATCTGCTAAAACGGACACCCTTCCCCCCTATTAGTCCGAATTAACGAGGGTCGACTGTAATTGGTTTGTCATCTAGTAACACTGTACAAGACAGAATTTATGACTGTTATAATTTGTTGTAGGGGTACTGTGTATAGCAACTCAAAGACGACCTAAAATGTACTTTGGTTGATTATAAAAATTAATTGTCAAGCTAGTACAGCACCTGTAATAAAATTGCATAAAGCAATTGCCATGGAAATTTGAATACTTGTACTATGCACAGAAATTACGAGGGATGCACTGGAACTTAGTTCCAGCCGGTTGCTTCCGGCCGGAACCTCATTTTTTATGAAGTTCCAGTTCTGGCCGGAACCTCTTTTTTTATGAAGTTCCAGTTCCGGCCGAAACTTTAGAAAAATAACCGGTTGGAACTAGAACTTTATATTGTGATATTAGTTAAGTAGAGAATCTCCACTAAACATCTCTACCTCCTTACGTCCACCCCAGCTGCTATTCAGGGAGACACTGAGTCATGTGTGAGGCAGCTGGGTAAGCTGACTCGAGTGTTAAACTAAGCAAGTACTGGGCGCGTCATCCTCATGGCTCTGTGTGACCGGTTGTGTCGTGAAACATGCCCGTCAAAGACTCGTGGCTTCCCATAGATAGATTTTTTTACAAGTTATTATTTTTCCATGTACTTATAAAACAACTTAAATGCTAAACTTAATATATTTTAGGTGCTATGTCATACATTTCTTGAAAAATACTATTCAAGGTGAATCTTACCTTGAAGCATTGTTGTATTCCTATGTAAAAAATACTGTATTAAAAAGCAGCAAAGCATATAAAATAAAGTGGCCTACTTGAACTTCATTTCATGGCTTTAGTTTTAGAAATTAGTTTAAAAACCGAGGCAAAGACCATTAAGAACATACACTAGCATTTCTGGGTGTCATGAAGCTTATTTTTTTATTTCTTTTTTGTTTAAGCAACACTTTATGTTCCGGTTCCTGCCGGAACTTAATATTCTGGTTCCGGTGCATCCCTAGAAATGACTATGGATTTTGTAACTTTTTATGGATAACAGAATTATCCAATACTCTACAGTAATCCCAGTACAATATTGTAGTAGTAGTACCGTAGTTAGCTTATGCTGAACTTGACAGGGCATGTGATGATAATAATTGATCAGTGGGTTATACTTGCTGGACCCGACTAATCCGGGACCCAACAGTCCGGCAGCGTTGGTGGTTCGGGACGGTGTCATAGCTTACCTCTAGTGGTTGTTGCCGCTATTTTACCTTTAAATACTTATAATTTACCCCTAAATATGCCTCCTAAGAGACCAGCAAGCCGTGAAAGTGGCTGTCATGCGGCAAAAAGTAAACATGTGACATTAACTATTTTAGAAACAATGTCTGTATTGAAGAAATTAGACAGTGGTACATCAGTCAGGACCTTATGTGCCTCTTTTTAACCTCGGCTTTGATAGTTTGGAATTTTCAATAATCCGGAACCGGTTTGGTCCCAAGCTTCCCGGATTAGCGAGGTGCAACTTGTGGTGAATATGTTTTATAATTTTATAAGATCGGTTAATTTTATTCAGAAAAGGCTTTTGGTTTATATTTTGAGTGTGTTTACTCTTTCAGTGTGGTGAAAAAAGAGTGTCTCGAAGACATGCTTACCTGGACTGGGATGATGATGGGGTTCTCATTACTTCGGTAAGCTCATGATGATATTAATTTTATTTTTATAATTAAGGAATTGCCTTAAATAGTGAAACAAGCAAAATTACAGTACTGTATGTCTTTATTTTAGGTCTACTATAAGGAATTTAATAAATCTTGAAATGTATTTGACAACTCATATACTACTGTACTAGTAGTCAACAAGCCAGGGTTAGCAGGACCCCCATCATGTGTGACTGGAACTAAATTCCAGAATCCTGAAAATTATTTCTCTCCCTACACAACTGACACCCAAGTTCAGTAAACCCTCATTTTATGGCTCCAGGTGCATTAGGAGAGATCCTATATCCTGGATACAGTAAACCCTTGTTATTCACAGGGGGTAAGTTCCAAGGAATGGAGCAAATAGGCAAAACTGCAAATATCAACTCACACTACCAGCTGCGGCAGTGCTCATCCCCTCTTTTAATTTATCTAATACTTCAACTTTCTTTGTCAGGGTCATCACTGACTTCTGCCTTTTACATTTCACTCCACTAGCATCACTAGCACTGACACTAGGCAGTCTTTTAGGGACCATTTCACACAGAAACACTAAAGTTTTGAGAGTACAACACGAGATGCTGCGTCTCAGGCAATGGTTCAGCGCGAACAGAGGGAGAGGAGATGCTGCGGGCGCGTGGGGTGCAGGAAAAGGCTCGCAAGTTAGCCACCAGCTGCTTACCGCAAATCGCAAACCCATGAATGGCAAGGGTCTACTATATTGGATTTTAAACCCAGTCATGCATGTTGGAGTCCTGGAAATACCATGGATGTGTCGACTGTACAGTATAAGAGTTGCTGGACTGTTGTTTTGTTAAATAATGGTATTTCAGGGTCAACTCCATATTACTGTACAGTACTTAATGGTACAGTATAGTACAGTTATACTGTAATTCCAACTTGCTTCTTGGCTATGTTTGTGATTGTACTGTACTCTTACAGGAAATTGACAGCTTTGAGGGTTTTTTTTGATACTGTAAGTTGATGTTTAAAACTCTTACAGTTTGTTTACCATGATTTTCAATGTAATTTTATTTTTTAGGTTCATCAAAGCCCAACCTACATTATGGTTAGTGGTGAGAAAGAAAAGTTAACTGAAGGAAGTTCTAAGCTTCTTGCACATGGAGACAAATTTGGCTTAATGAAGACTAATTTCTGGTTCAAGTGAGTACTGTATATTGAAAATATCCTATTTCTCTACATGTAATGTGGGAACTACAGGGACCTAAAGTTGTTAGATCAGGTTGTGAAAGTTGTGGAAAGAGTGATCAGAAATTGATTAAGGAGAGAAGTGGACAATTATGAAATATTTAGTTCATGCCAGGTAGTGGGGACTTTTGAGGCAGTGTTTATATCTAGGTAACTACAAGAGAAATATCTAGTGGAAGAAAGTTGTACAGTACTTCTTACTTGTAGAATTAGAGAAAGCATTTGACTGGGTATCACATGAAGTATTGAATTGGACAATAAAAAAATTCAAGATCAAGGAATGTCTTGTTTGATTGGTTATGACATTATCTGAGGAGTTAAGAAGTCTCTGAGGGGAATTTGAGGTGAAAGTAGGGATCCATCAGTTTATCATGAAACTGAGGGCGTGACTTCAGGACCGGTCTGCCCTGGGATTTGTATGCTGATGACTTAGTGTTGATAGCAGACAGTATTGCTACACGTAATTTGTTGCCAGAATATGGGCCAATGCTCATAAGACCAACATTAACCAGTACCCAGGGAGTTAGAAAACAGCTCATATGAACTAACCTCTCTGTATGAATAGTATGCACAGGTCTGTATATAAGCCAGTTAGTTGGAGACAAGTTTTAGTCATTTAAATTATTAGAAAATGGATTGATTAATAGATGTATTGAGCTTTAGCTATGGGAGTGACTGTAAGGATAAATGAGTTTACAGTATTTGTCTGATGGATAATTCCTGTTTTATAAGTTTTGGAATTTTAGTATAATTTACCAGTTATTTCCAAGCATGTTTTACAGCTGTTGCATGATTGGTTTATGACAACTTTTAGTCTGAAGAATTATTAGTTGTGTAATACTGTATACATATTTTTAATAGTTGAATGTCATAGCTAAATGATAGTACAGTAATATAATTTTTTTTTCACAGAATTAACATACCAAGTGCTACTCTTAAAGGTAATGAAAAGAAAGAAGCTGAAATCTTACACAATGAGGAAATTTCTTGTAAAGAACCAACACAAACCGGAAAGAAAATGAAAAAGGACAATGATTCAACAGCTGATAAAAATGTAAAGAATAATATGTACCAGTCCAGAGAAAGGGATGTAGACAGTGACTCTGTTCAGAATTCTGGCACTCAAGGTGTCCCATCTGAGCAGGAAAAGACAGAAAACTCTCATAACAATCTTGATCCAAAGGAGGAAGATACATCACTTAAGATGAAGAAACCTGTGACTGAGAACATAGCTCAAGACCATCCCTCTTGTAATGAAGGTGAAGTTGCTTATTCTAAAGTCACACCAGAGGCAAGTTCCAAGCTACAGTACATGTATTAAGTTTATGCAGTTCCTTGTACAGTACTCGTATTTTGTGTGTGAAGAAATAAAGGTAAAGCTTGTGTTTTCCAAGCCCTTAGAGCCCATTATGGCAGGTGCTGGTTCCATTCCCTTAGCATTTAGCAACTTATTGGTTAACCTACCTTCCTGGTTGGTACTCTCCCTGTTTGCAAATGCAGCTGACAATGTACTTTATGTAATTGCTGAGTGTGCCAGCAATATTTAATATTGATTGCTAGCTGGGCATTGTACAGTACTGGCACATGTAATATAATGCTTCTTAAAATAGCTAGAGTTTTTGTTAATATATCTTGGTACTATCTTAAGTGTTTCTCATTTAAATGGATCACCAATGTTATAGTAGTAAAATATTCTCAGTTTGGACCCAAGATAAGTGAGTTAAAAGTTTGGTTATGTTGTACTGTATGTATAGTGTCAGGTCGATGATGTTACCACTGAATTTCACAATGTAGGAAATAGAAGCAGCTGTATCTACAAGGAAGCGAGATTTGCCCACATGGATGGTTAATTGTGATGTGTCTAAAGACAAGGGATGCCCAAGAGAAGACACATACTTACTCACTCGTGGTGGCAGACAGAAGACTTGTTCAACTCCTTCAAGAAGAAAAAGAGCTGATGACAGTAATCTATCTGTGGCATCTCAAGTAAGTGTAATGGATCCAATCTTTTAATCATAATTGGCCATAAACTACATTTTCTACATCATTAATCTTTATTAGAAAAGACATCAGTAGAGAAATACAAAAATAAATGAAATCATTACAGTAAAATAAATACAGTGGTCCCTCGGTTAACGAAATTTCGGTTAACGAACTGCCTCCCATAAGATTCTTAAATTCGGTTAACGAACAAAAATTCGGTTAACGAATTTCTTACGAACCGACCTCAACATGTTTTCGCTTGCACTGGCCGGTCAACCTAATTTAGTATTAGTCCGCCAATACATTAATCGGTTCTAGGGCTTAAATTCCTTACTATTTTAGTAAATATCAAGAAGTTTATACTATTCAATAATTTTAAAAGTTTAATATTCAATTTTTTAGTCATTTTAACAATTATTGAACATAATTGAAGGTAAAGTGACTAGTTTAATGCGCGGCATCCAGCCTCTTAACACAGCAAACAGGCGTTAGTCTCTCTGTTTTCACTGGAGGTAACATCTTGCTTGAGACTCTCTTCAACTAAACGCTTTTTTCTGTGTTTCCAAGCAAATTATTGGTCATTTTGAAATGTATTTTACAAATTGACAATATATAATGCAGTGCAGTGTTGATTTAAAGAAAATAATCTTGAAATACACCAAGAGAACTAAAATTTTATGGGTGAAATGGTGCCATGGGGTGACTTCTCTTCCACCCCAATGCCTTCTCTTCTTCCTTCTCCTCCACCCCCATTCTAATTCCCATCATCATCATCATCATCCAGGAGCCTTCTACATACACACCTCAAAGTAAGTGTACTTTTCTACCTTTTTGTTGAATTTAGGCAATTTTCGGTGAGCTGGAACCAATTACCCAAAAACCCATTGAAACAATGGTTTCGGTTAACGATTTTTTCGGTTAACAAACAACCTGCTGGAACGGATTGTGTTCGTTAACCGAGGGACCACTGTACAGTCATCCTTCATTTTTAACAAACTGAATTGCCTAACCTCATATTTCTTAAGTACTGTATATATTTCTTCACAGACAAACAAAAATACTACACATATTAACCATCTGTCAACCAGTCCAGCCACAAGAGGATCTTCTAAATTAAATGATGTTGAAGGAACAACAAAAAACAAGAATTTTGAAACCAATTGTGTTACACCAAAGAAAAAGAAAAACAAATTGAGCCAAGGGAAGGGAGTGGGTTCACCCAAAAAAGCTGTTTCTCCAAGGAAACTTGGGACCAGAATTCACCACGATATAAGTGAGGAGAGTAATGATGATTTACCCATCACTGTTACTACTGTTCGGGAAAAAAAAAAAAATAGTCCAGATAAAACCAACCAGATACCAGCTAAAAACCACAGCAGTAATTCCCCAAGTAAAGCCCATGATGTGAGTGAAGATGAGGAGGACAACTTGATTGATGAGTCAACTAATAGTTCATTTAGTGCAGAGGCCAATTCATCAGCTCCACCCACTACATCTACTGTAGCAGAAACAGCTGTTCCCAAGAGAAAAAAAGCTCCCAGAAAATCCTGCCAGTATGGAGGCAAATGTTATAGGTGGGTGTTGAGGTAGATTTCTTAGAGTAGGAACAGATATTATGTTCATTGTCTATGATCACATATTAGGATGAATTAACAAAGAGATGAAAGTCAGGTTTATTGCCAACACAAGAGGGCAAAGGCAGTGAACTATTAGATGAATTTTAGACATGGAAATACCAAATTTTATCAAAGTGGTACAGTAGTCATGATAATTTGTGTAATACAAATTCGCATTCTTAAATTCATGGTACCTCTATTACTAACACATTTTTTTTAAATTTCATGGTAAAAAATTCATAATTGGTGGCCGACCTCCACCTAATGCAGTGTTTATTACATAGGAAACCATAAAAGTTATGGAAATATTTCAATGCTTTAATTTGACTTAGAAATATAAAAAAATATATATAATATAGTAAATATAATTTCAATGCTCTCGTGTTACTTAAAATTATAGAAAATTTAATAGGAAAATATAAAATAAGAAAAATTAGGAGTGAGAATGAATTGTGTGAGAGAGGGTGGCTGGCTGGACTCCGTGGATATTTCTCAACCCCTTTATAACGACTATGCAATTTCACCACAGTTGCCATATTAATTAGGTTCATTTGGAGCCGGGGTAATAAAGAAATGTTATAAAATACCTCATCTGTTTTTCTGAAAAAAATTCCCACACTTGATCAAAGTTGAGCCATTGAGTTTTATTAAATTCATGTTAGTTTGTTTACATCATAGGGAAACAGGTGACCAGCCAGCCTGCCTGTCTCCATGTTGGTGTAATGGTGTCACCCAGAAGATGATTAAGAGAAGAGAAGATGATGTCTATATAGTATAGAACTACAGTACTTTTTGTATAATATCTATGTGTTACTGTATATTTTTATGTACAGGTATCCCTCGTTTTGCATTAATTCCCATAACCTTAATTTGATTTAACGATAATTTTTATTTTATTTTTTATTTTTACACTCATCTCATTTATTGTTAGGTTACAGGACAGTTTAGCGATACCTGTACCTTGATTCAATGGGAAGGGAAAAAAACTGGGGATGGGGTGGCCTGTGAGATGGCACATTGCCATTGTTATACAGTATGTAATGAAACTATGGAAGTTGTGGCAAGACCATTTCAATACTCTAATATGGCTTAGAAATAAAGAAAATATAATATAGAAAATGAAGAGCATGGGTGTGTATGTATGTGAAATGAACGTATTTGTGGAGGCAGTGAAAACTGTAACTGCGTCACTGACTCGCCTCCCACCCCCGCTCCTTCCCCTGGTGTGACATCACAGCGCACACACATGTCTCTGAATCAGCTGCATAACTTCCCAGCTGAACTGTGTCACATCCCCCAGAGGATGGTTTGAGTATGGAAGGAGTTATTTGTTGTACATAGCATTTTTTTTTTATGTGTGCAATTTGAAAATTATATGAATTAAGCTCACCTTTTCCTCATTAAATCATTAAACTCTGAACCACTTCAAAACTGTTAATAACATACTCATTATTATTATTATTATTATTAGGGAGTACAGTACAGTACTAATTATTTCCATATACCTACAGGCAGTCCCCAAGTTACGAACGAGTTTTGTTTCTGGGGATGTTCTTATGTCGAAAATGTACACAAGTCATAACACATGTTATATGTATACTGTGCTTTCAGAACAATGTTTAAAATCCCACTATATTATAGCCTAAGGCCTTATATATATTTAAAATCACTTAATTTAAGACAAAAGAAGAAATAGAATGAAAAAATACAGTAAATAAAAGTAAGAAATAAGTCATCAGGTAAATAAAATTTGTACTGTAATTTTTAAATTTAACCTCGTTTGTATTGGCAGATGTTCGTAAGCCAGATGGTCATAAGCTGGGGGCTGCCTGTATTGCAAATCAAACTATAATTTGCGATTTGATAATTCACGATGTCTTCTGATACCTAACCCATAAATTATTGCGACTCCACTGTGTATGTTAATTAGTTAATTTTGTTCTGTCTTCTTTTTCCATGTGTTATGAAGAGACGACTACTAAATGTCATAGTTCCCTTCGGCCTATGTCTTGGATATATGAGAACATTTTTACTGTACAGTTGTACCCCACTTAACGCGGTCAATTGAACCCAGAGGGTCCCGCGTTAAGTGAACAACAGAACATATGGGATTAATTCCAATAGAAACCGGCCCGACCCCCAAACTCCACTTTTTGAAGGCACATACCTATGTTGTAGTAAAAATAACATCTTAATTTTATGATGGTACATGCACACAATTAATACTTAAGAGAAATAGAGAAATACAGTCGCCAAGTTAATGTCCATTCAAATAATGGACTCAACTCCCTCCCCCTCTCACACTACACTGCCGGCTCTTCCCTCTCAGAGAAATTTTTGGGGGAAAACCACTAAATTTTAATAAATAATACCTCAAACTAAAGTTAGGATAATACAATTGACATTGCTGGATTCCTTGTAAGACCAGGAATATTTTGAATATAAATGTCATATATTTTGCACAAAAGATAACATAGTTACCTAGAGAAAAATTTTTATCTAAAATTTGTATGTTTAATGCAAAATATATGATGTTTATATTCAAAATGATCACCAAATTATAAGAATTCCAGCAATGTAAATTATATTCTGACCGGGTAATTTGTATGAATTTTATGAGCTAAAACAAATATCTTCAGTTAATAAAAAAAAAATAATCTTCACGACACTATCTGTCAATCAAAGTACCCCACCTTGCCTCCCCCCCTCTTCCAACCGCGCGGTCAGTCCCAACCCTCCCCCCCACCCCCCACCAATCCTCCCTTCCAGGGTTTTTAACATTTAGTATTAAATAATACCTCAGATTAAAGTTAGGATAATATAATTGACATTGCTGGATTCCTTGTAAGACCAGGAATATTTTGAATATAAATGTCATATATTTTGCACAAAAGATAACATAGTTAATTTGAGAAAAATTTTTATCTAAAATTTGTATGTCTAATGCAAAATATATGATGTTTATATTCAAAATGATCATCAAATTATAAGAATTCCAGCAATGTAAATTATATTCAGACCGGGTAATTTGTATGAATTTTATGAGCTAAAACAAATATCTTCAGTTAATAAAAAAAAAAATATTCTTCACAGGGTAACAGATGGTCGGTCGGTCCCTCCCTCCCCCCCACCCCCCACCAACCGTCCCAAGGAGATGTGTGGGATAACCACTAAATTTTAATAAATAATACCTCAAACTAAAGTTAGGATAATATAATTGACATTGCTGGATTCCTTGTAAGACCAGGAATATTTTGAATATAAATGTCATATATTTTGCACAAAAGATAACATAGTTACTCTGAGAAAAATTTTTATCTAAAATTTGTATGTCTAATGCAAAATATATGATGTTTATATTCAAAATGATCACCAAATTATAAGAATTCCAGCAATGTAAATTATATTCTGGCCGGGTAATTTGTATGAATTTTATGAGCTAAAACAGGCAGTCAGGCAGGGTGGCGGGTGGGGCAAATCTAAAAATAGCGTCTCGAGCCGGACACTCACCGCGTATATGTGGAAAAAATCCGTGTTAAGTGAAAGTTCAGCTCTGGCGAGGCACCGCGTATATGATAAAACGCGTTAAGTGAAACCGCGTTAGGTGGGGTAATACTGTATAAGCTAATTAAGACCTTTATTAATATTTAGACTAATTTATAATTAAATTTGTTTAACATTGTTTTACAGTACGTACAGTATATGGAAACAAAAAGTTAGAAGTATATAATGGGTCTTCTAGGAGAGGTTCTGTGATAATTATTCCTAACACTTATTTCCTCTCATGGTATACAGAATATAATGCCCTTATTTTATAGATTTGGGCAAAATAAATGTAGGTAATGTGTCTGTTAATATGGAAAATAGCTATTGTGGTTTAATTTCCAGGAAAAATCAGAAACATCGAGAAGATTTTGCCCATGAAGGAGATTCAGACTACAATAAGAACCTCTCTGACCCAGAAGACTCTGATGATGAACTGCCTCAGTGTGAATTTGGTGTAAATTGTTATCGGAGGAATTCTCGGCACCGTAGAGACTTTCGCCACAGTAGGGTCCCTCAGCCGCAACGTCGAGTGAAAAGAAAAGGTGAGACTTTTGTCCTTCAATTTTTTCAAGCCTTTTCTCACTATAGCCAATTGCAGGTTGACCAGATTCAAGAACTACCACACACTCTCTTCTTAACTATTTGTTGTTATTTATTCACTCTTACTGCTGTAACAGATCTGTTTAATTATGATGTCTCCCTTCTACAGCAAGATCTCAGAGTACCTATCTAGTTTATCCCTGTCATTATTCATAATATTCCTCAACATTAACAATCATTTTCCATGATTGCATGGTTAAGCCATGGTTACCTAATGGCAGCTCTCATGCTGCGCGGTCTCTTGTGACCTCGCATCAGATTTTAACTCTTACCGTAGTGTATTTTGCTACCTTTCCTCATGACATTCTTGGCCTGCTCCTGGCTCTCCTCCCCTTCATATTTAGACTTGATACCCAGCCACCCTCTTAGCTCGGAACATGGGGGTACATTTTCACTCGTGTGCAAAGAAATGTATATTCCCTTTGTGTTTGCCCTAAGGACAATTATATCTTTTACCTGTATTGTATCTGCATGTGTGTGTGTGTGTGTGTGTGTGTGTGTGTAAACACACACAAATAAATAATAATGTAGAAAAAATGTGAGTCTACCCTTAAGTCAATTCTGTGCTTTGTTATTAAAGTTGGGTTGGTTGGGTTGCCATACATCAATTTTTTCATCGTAAAAATTACTGTCACTAGAACGAATGGCATCTGAGCGCCAGCTGGTTTGATATGTAGCTCATACCTACAGAACTTCTTTCATAGCCATCTAGCCAACTCAACGTGAAGGATGTCGGTAATTGCAGTGCAATATTGTTCTGTACTTTTTTCATAGTATGTACTGGTATGTAGGATGATGGGTACATGTAACTGAGAAAATTAAATGAAGAAAGTTATGTGTTTCTACCTGAAAATATGAGTTGAAAAACAACCATAACACCTCACAGCCATAGTTTTCTTAAAATAATATATACAGTACCAGGAAATGTGAGGAATAAATAAAAATAGTACCAATGAATAAGTTAAAAAAAAATACTTTTGCCAAACCAGTAAATAAAAGCCAAATGAAAGTTTAACACAGTCTCCATTACACTCCCTGCTCCACCCCAGTAACGAAGATCAGCTGGGACGCTGATTCCCTAGCAATGCTCCCCACCCCCTACACTCTGAGCTCTCCTCCCATTTCATGTTTGCCCTTAAAATAATTATTTCATTTACTTTTTTTCACAACATGTATTTAGGATAGTGTGTGCATGTAACTGAGTAAAAATAAATGAAGAAATTTACGTAATCTACTCGAAAATACAAGTTGATTAAACCATAACACCTCACAGCTTGGCCCAGTAGCCTGGTGGTTACAATGACAAGCTAACTTAGCTACAATGCCAAGATTAATCGCTATTAGACACTTCTATCAGTAACACTAATAATAACAGTAAATCCAGTGAAATATGGCAGGGAGTGAGGAGAATTACAACTGCAGACGACACGCTAACTAGCAGTCACTCACTCCCCTTACCTGCTCCCATTGCAAGGCGTACGTATGGGAGAAATACATGACCTTTTCTCTCTTCACTTGTTTGGGCACCTTCCCGTGGCTGGATGAAGGTGGTTGAGGGTGTTTGGGAGCCATCACAAGCACGAGGAGCACAGTTGTTACGAGAGCAGAGTAGCACATGCGCGAAACGGACAAGTGTTTAACCTGGACTGAGAGGCGGGGTGAGTGAGCATGGCCCAGCTGCCTGGGACAAGAGAGACACCTTGCGGGATGCCATAAAACTCACCGGCTCCCAGTCCTGGCCGTGAAAATGCCACCAACTTTAAAACTACCCGTAGACATTCTTGGGTACATCCAGGGTGTCATCCACAAAAAATCGAAGTCTGAGAATTAAAAATGTGTGAATTGTAAGGGCTTGATGTATTTCCTTACGCTTGTTCTGCACGATAACTTGCCAAGCTTGTAATTACGTCCTCTCGTGTTGGTGGTGCAAGAAATCACAAAGAAATGACCTGTGTTCACTTTTTCTATCCCTTTCAGCATTTTGAATGCTTCAATGACATCAGCCTTATTGTGCCTTAGGTTGTTAGTCCTAAGGTCCTCAATCTACTTGGATAATAGAGATAACATAGTTCCGGAACCATCTTGGTCACTCAGTGTTGCACCTTTTCTAGGGACTGGAATGTACTTGAGATTTGTACAGTTGAAGGAGCATTTTCCTATCTTTTTATTCGAAGTTACTCTTTATAATTCCCAAATCTTAATTTGCATTCCACACTGCTGGGGGCCCCCACTTGTTGCACCGTCTTCAGTGAATGATCTATCGCAACGCCAAGATATTTCTCCTTATCGACAGTATCCAGGAAAGTGTTATTAATAGAATATTTGTGCATTATACAGTATGGTTGTGTCATAACACAGTACAAGTAGTTTAAAGAATTTATGTACTGTACTTATTATTTTATCTAATTTCCTCGAGTCGCCAAATACTTTTTCAAGTATTGAATAATACAGGTAAGTCGCGTTTTATGTGTGTTTGATTTAAGCGTTTTTGGAATAACGCTATTGTTCAATTAATACCAAAAGCTAATTTACACACACCTATTTTTGATAACGTGTTCAAGACAGTTTAAATTTGCCTTGCGTATTTGCCTGGCAGTGGAGTCGAGTGTGATACCTGGTGAGGTGCTTGTAAGTTATGACTATAAAGTTGCAGTCATATCAACATCAACAATTTTAATATTATTAATAATTAGTATACTAATGTAATTATAAAGATTATTACTACTAATGATGAAGATAATGATGATAATGAAGTATTCTGTACAACAACTGTGATGACGTCCAACAAGCTTCCCATGTATCACTTTCTCAGTTCACACCAGCACTACCTTTTCTCTGTGCTCTCATTTGCATTGTGTGTTTATCACGCACCCTTTTAGTGTTAAACGCTGTTTTCCCCATTGAGCATGTCTGGAAAACGTCCATCTGCCTTCTCTGGGGCGCCTAAAGCTAAAAAGGCACGAAAAACAATCACAATGGATGTGAAATTAAATGTGATCACCCACCTTCAGAGAGGAGAGTGTGTGTCGGAGGTTGGCCTCATGCTTGGTTTAAGTGATAGCGCTGTTCGTACCCTGCGCGGTATATGATGGTTCCCCTAACCTGTACCATTTACATGTATTCTTATGGGAAAATTATGTTCAATTTATGCATTTTTTAATTAAGTGGTGATTTTCAAGAACGTAATCCCCGCGTAAAACGAGAGGTGGGTGTATATGGGGACACCACATCCAACAATTTCTCTGTTTTACCTCTAAATGATAGTAATGACAAGTTCAACAACAAAAATTGAAGTTAAAAAAACTTCTAAAATAAGAATATACTGTACATCAGCATATTGCACAAAATCCAGAAATTATTCAATAATTTAAAAAGTATTTGGTGACTTAAGGAAATTTGATGATAAAATAATAATGATACAAATTCCTTAAACTAGTTGTATTATGATGTATTAAAACATGATCATACTGCATACTGTATTGTATATTACAAACATTTCAAGCAAGCAGAAAACCAGGATCTTAGGTATGCGTATGCAGGGTTGAGAAAACATTTTTATGAAAAATAAACTTACAAAAAAGCTAATGCATAAAAATATTATATTAAAAAAAACTATGGTACAGGTATATTTAAATTTCTTCAATTTATAGCACGGCAACAGCAGTACGAGGGAGGGAGTGAATCCGATGACTATGATTATGACGATCCATTCTTAAATGAGGGCAGTTCAGATGACTACGCACCAACAGACTCTGGCTCAGACTCTGCCATGGAAGCTGAGCAAGGGGAGGAGGAAGACACTACAAGAATGTTGAAAGAAGCCAAAAAGTTTGTGAGGAAGAAATAAATGTTTGTGAAGGTGTTTTATGTACTGTACAGTATAGCTAAACCATTTTATGTAATGGTAGTGATTATGGGGGTTTGGGTAAATTGGAATAAGTAAACTTTCGAACTGTTTACATAATTTCATGGAGTTTTGGGGGAGAGATTTGTTAAAGCAAAACTGAGCTTTGATTCTTCAGTGTGTTGATGTCCCATTTATAGAATTCAATCTGTGGCTATTTGTGACTTCAGAAAATTGAACAACCCTTTACCAGTTTTCTTTGTAAAAGGATACTGCTTTTTTATCATCTTTTAGAACCAGTTTATAAATGTACATTTACAAATAAATATACAAGTACTATACACAAATGGTTGAGCATATTATAGGAAGCATCAAGTAGATTTGGTAATGATGGCTTGATTAGGTGTAGTTAAGAATAAAGGCAAAGAAAGAATTTGATTTGTGTTTGTTACAAGTGAAAGTATGATTTTATTTTTTTATGTCTTGTTTAATAAGGGTTGAGGATGAAGGGTTAATAATTCATGAGGACTGATACTCTCCTCTTTGTACCTCACCTAGTTTAACATGAGGCCCTTCAAGGTGCTTTTGTTGTACTCCATTTAATTTCACATGAGGTAACTTGCTCTTGTTCCCATGTAGTTAGGGAAGCAGTAAATAAGAAACACTTTTCCTAATAAGTATAGACATTTCACATTCACCGGTTACCTTTACAGGTAAATCATTTTATATCCAGGAAAAGTACAGTACTGTACTGGTATATTTAGTTCACCATACATGTTTTGTACAGATATTCATTCTCCATGTTTCTCACCAACACCAAATCTAAAAAAAAAGAAGACATTCTATACATTAACACTTCTTGCTTCCTTCTCATATTCATCTTCTGACAAATTTTTTTTTTTCCTTCACCTTCTTCTGTACTTGTACTACTCTTTGTCTTTTAATACTTGATAAGACTATCAAGGACAGGAGGGCTCCTACACAGGCACTGGCCTTCATACCTTGGCATGGCCACCTCTAATTTTGGTGACCATTGGGTAAGTAAGGTAACATAATCAACACTGCGGCTGCACTTGGGTAATTTCCAGTAAAAAAAAAAATGTGGTTTGTGTCATGTTTATCCTTGACCTTCTCTACTTCCACTGATGTACGGGGTCTCTTCCCTGTTAAATAAAAGTATCTAGCGGTAGATGAACATACTGTAATATTAAAAGCGGTGTCCCCTCAGTGAAGGGGTTAACCCACAAATGGCTACACCTACTCTATACAATCTTAAATTTATATTCTGTACTTTCAGTCTTTCCTTTTGTCTGATAGTTATCCTTTAGCCATCATACACTTTAACTAAATACTTTATACAGTACTGTACCATATATTACAACACATGAAGATTGTCTCTTGTGAAGGATGAAATGTTCTAAATGATTACAGTATTATTATGTCTGATGTATAACACAATTCATTGCCTAAATGTTACTGTACAGTTAATTCTTGATGAATTAAAAATATGGATATTGTATTATTAAATATTTATTTTTCATAATTTTTTGTGATACCTGAATCAAAGGCAGAGGGTATACTGTAAAGTGCTTACTAAGTGTGTGTGTCTGAATATCTCTAAAACAGGATAGAAAGTTTATGTTTTTCTTCATAAAACTGCATAATTTACAAGAGATGCACAAGTCTGAATGTGGATGGGAGATGGGCTAGGGCTCTAGTAGTCCCAAGAATGACATGGGGGAGAGGTTGTAAGGAATTACAATATCTGAACCTGACAAGAGAGATTGTGAGACCAAGCAACATGGAGACACCCATTTTAGATTTTCTATGTATTATTTAAGCATTTTCCACTTACGACCTGGATTTGGGTCCCTAAGCCCGTCCTAAGTCGAGGAGCAGCTGTATATATATATATATATATATATATATATATATATATATATATATATATATATATTATATATATATATATATATATATATATATATATATATATATATATATATATATATATATATATATATATATATATATATATATATATATATATATATATATATATATATATATATATATAAGACAAGCCATAGATTCTTGCAAAATGAACAAACCATCAGATGCATCAGTGTCTGTGGTTACATCAGTCTAACAGCTGAGATAACAGTGACATCTGAAATGCTATGGCATGATTGTAGAGATGAACCCATGCAAGTAATTGTACAAGCAACTGACATGGACCAATATGTAATTAGTCAACAGATTAAAATGATAGTGTCAGAATATTTTATAAGAATAATAATTGCACTCAGATACGGCCAACATGTACTGTATGTCCGACTATTCAATCTACTAAATTTACAGATAACTCTGCTCTGTTGATAACACTTGACCACCGACCCAAAATTGTGAAGCAGTATTGCCTGTATAGTGAATGTGTGTCTTGGTGTGAGGAGATAGAAGTAATGTCAAGGAGTGCCATCATGTGGATTCATTAGCTACAACTAAGAGGCATCCACACATAAGGTGGGTGGGTGGGTAAAGCAGTTGTAATTGTTTTTTAAAATCTTCCCGCAGACTTATTCCACACGCCTTGACTCTCCCATTCGCATCAACTGGCATTATAGGCGGCGTCACACGACCATCTAAACTGGCCATTTTTCAAACTGGCAATATATTCCAGCTAGTGCTCCCAATTTCTTTCAACTCAGAGACATAGATAAAAAGAGTTCGGCCAACCAGGCACCATGTTGTTACTCAGGGTAGGAAGACTTCTCGGGCTGTCTTCCACTTGGTGGTAAATTAAAACAAAGTGGGTAAACTCAACTTGAATGTTAATATGATAGACAACAAAAATATGTTTTTCCTCTTAAGATTTATATACTGTATTTAATTGTTTGAACTCTCAATTACATCTTAGCTACAACTTGTTTTAATAATTATTATTGTAAATTGTTGCCACACTTATAACACTCACTACCCAGGAGTGTGTCAGAGCCGGCCCACCACAAACTGGCTTGGATATTTCACTCAGAGTGGGCACACACATTGTGCCATAGGTATTAATAAATATTAAAATCTCACTGTTTTATTGTCAAGGAGACATTATTCTAAACACTACCTTTGTACAGAATATGAGCAAAAGCTGTAAATATCATACAAATGTAGATACAAACATTGGCATCAGAAGTATGTTGCTATCTTGACTACCTTAAGTTATTATTACTAAATAATCAGAACATTCTTAACACTGTAATTCAATTTATAATGTTTCTCTCGTTTGTTTTGTGAACAAATACTAGACAATAGTAATGTTTGTTGGGATATAACAATCAATGACGCATGTAATGGATACAGTATTAATAGCCAATAATATTCATTCATACGCAAACATTCTATCACAGAAGGAATTAGAAGTTACAGAATACTGTATACCCTGTACATGTTTATACGCTAAGAGTACATCTACTCGCTATACTGTGGCATTATTTTTGGTATTTTTATCTTCATCAGACAAGTAAGCTGAATTGGTGTACACATGACGATGTTGTGACGCCTCCACACAATTGCTGGTGGCTGGCTGGCAGCTAGTGGTGGAGGTGCTGTGGTCATCATAAGCGTCTGGTCCCACCAGAGACAAAACCACCGGCAGAAACACGAGTCCATAGTAGAGCCCTAGAACTGATGCTGCTACAAATACTTTGAAGAAGGTCATAAAGACATGAGATGAAGAGCCAGCCAGAAGAGCAAAGGAGAGCAAAGTTGAAACCCCTCCTTGCAACACTGCAGGACCCACGCCCTCCAAAGCCGCACGGACTCTCACTCTCTTGTCTGAGACGCCGCGCTTGGCCAGGAAGGCGTGTGCTACATGCGCCGCATAATCGACACTCAGGCCAATAGACAGAACAATGGCGATGCAGGAAACAGTGTCGATTGTTAAGCCCCACGCCCATATGATACCCGACACTCCTATCACGGTGGCCACCACACATCCCAGCACCAGCATGGATGCCAAGAGGGAAGCCAGCAGGAAGAGTGTGACGACACCCACCACAATTCCAGCCAGTAGGATGTTCCTCCATAACTCGTAACCAATTATTTCATTTGTCTCCCATATACTGTATGCTTGGGCCCATGCAGCCTTGTATCCACTCACTGGTGTTTTTGATAACAGGGATTTAATTGTTTCAAGGGCAACGGCTTGTTCTGCCCGGGAATCTGCTGGTCGGTGGGTGATCTCAATCCTGAAGGAGGTGATGGGGGGAGCTGGGTGATTGCAGTCTAGAACACCATCCAGGGTGAAATCGTTGCGGTAGGAGGCCCCCGTGGAGGACTGGAGGAAGACAGAGAGTGTGTCTTGCAGCTGGGGGTATGTGAGGGTAGTGTTGGTCAATTCAGGGATGTAGGACATGTACTCGTCCAGGGCAGTAAACCAGGCATTGACTGAGCTGATTACTTGACTTTCAGTTAAGTCATCTATGAGATGATTTAGATGAGGTAGGTCTTCAGGAAGTGTGACATTTGAAAAGTATATGTAGCCACTTTCTCCTGCCTCGGGGAAGTGTTTTGACAAAACCTGGACGGTTTCATCAAGGTAAGATGTACTTGGTATGAACCACATTGGATTAAACTCTTGGCGAAGGTTCGTGGTGGCCCAAACAGAAGAGGCTAAGAGGCAGCCGGAGCCCACCAAAATGATGACTTGCACTGGGGTACTCAGGATGAAGGGACAGAAGCCATATTTGAAGGCATCTGATAACAAGTCTCTCTCACTACAGCTCCAAGGTTTCCAGTTCTTGTGAGTTATGCACCACAAAAAGCCATTTTTATTTTCTTCCATTCGTTTCTCATCTCGTACCAGACACGCCAGGAAGAAAGTGGCCTGTAGTAAATACACAGCAAATATGCCAACGGTAGCGAATAAACAGAAGGATCGTAAGGCTGGCAGGTCTGTTGTTGCTCCCACAGCGAAGGCAGTCACATCAGTCAGCGAGGTAACAGTGATGGCGACACCTGCGTGACGCATTGTTCGCCCTGCACGCTCTATGCGGTCCTTGGAGATGGCTTTGTCACGCCCAGTTGCCTCCCATGCTGCCATGATGACGAACATATCATCCACGCCTAGTCCTATGAGGAGAATAGGCAATATAGAATTGACGGGGCAGTAGGGAACACCAAAAAACGAACAAACACCGTATGACACAGCCACGGCCTGGCCCACACTGAACATTCCCAGGAAGGCGAGCATCGGGCGCTGCTGTACCAAATTCCGTCGTCCTAATGTCACATTCACGAAGAAGCTCATCATCACCATACCCACGACCAACCACTTCACGTCACCCCAGATGTTATCGTCGCTCACAGTGCCAAAGCTACTGGCTGCCTGAGCGTAAACCCGAATGTTCCCTGGCCGCGACGAATCGTTTAAAACAGTGTTCACCCAAGCCTTTTCCCAAGCAAAGCCAGCCGTGTCGACGAGTTCCCCACTGCCTTGGTCCACCACCACGTCCAGAGCATGTTGGTCTACCAGAGATACCCACATGTGCATGGCGGCTTTGGCGCCTATGATTTTCCCCACCTCATCGTGTGTGATGCTACCCAGATACTTCGTGAAGTTTACTCTATAACCAAAGACTTCACTTATTCCTGCTGAATTTATGTCCTCCACCACTTGCTCGTCTGTTAAGTTCATGATTACATCTTCATGCAATCCCCAAACCTCAAGTAGACTGGTCTCAAGGCACATTTGGGGTAGACTGACTAGGCTATTGCAGTACTCATCTCTTGGTAGTTTCAGGCTCTGGTCCTCTGACAGAGTCTGAGACAAATCACGACGTCTTCGGAACTGAAGAATTCCATACTCAAAGTCTGAGTAGTCAGCCTCCTGTGGATCCACCTCATCCATGGGTAGTGAGGGTACCCGAGCACACAGGGTATCCCAGGAGGTGTGGTTGGGTCCAACTGTGAGCTCGGAGACACGGGTGTGGAGGCGCCACATCTCCTGCACAGCCTTGGCCATCAGTACATTGTCTGCCTCAAACACCGCTAAGTGACGCCGGTACGCGTTGGGGAAATTCTCTGACTGCCAGTTCATCACCTGAGAATACCAGACATGACACAGTCAGTCCAAAAGCACCTGATGACATTTACATATTCAATAAACATTACACATTGGCAAAAATATCTCCAGAATAGGGGAGTGTAGTAGCAAAGGAAACACAAGCAGACTTCGTATTTCTTTTGTTACCACACTTCTCTCTATCCAAATGAGTCATATTATGGGTTACTTTGTTTCAGTAAATTTCATGAAGAGTTGAGCTGCCTTGAACTTACTTCGATGAATTCCGAGTTTTGGGGGATCCAGAGTCTGTAAGGGCGGAGTTCCGTGGTGAAGTTGAGTGATCCGAGAGCACACACTGCTGACACCATCATGCAGATGGCAGCAGTGGTGCTAGGGTGAGAGGCGACCAGACGACCGTGACGCTCGAACATGTTCTCCAGTGTCTCCGTCAGCCACACACTCACCCGATTCAGACACGAGCTGCGGGCAACATTTGTCTTATTAGTGGAGGTTGTGTCTGTGGTACAGTACTTAGGTATGGTCTTCTGTGATCTTTTACAATGACCGAGACAGTTCAGTTAGGACATGACTTTTTAAAGTTTTAGCTAGAATATTTTGTAAAAAAAGAAAAGAAAAAAACAACTACCACTCGATGTCTACACACACATTGTGCTTTATGGGGATAAAATATTACCATTATTTTCTTATTGCTATTAATATCATGGATATCATTGATAAAGACCTACCTGTCTTTGCTGTGGTTGTCTTGTGACTCGGTTGGGGCAGAGTCAGTTTGCTCCACGTCAAGGCAAGTGGATGCGGGTTTCCTACTCGGCAAGTCCTCCGTCCTGTCGCTGTTGGCTGGAACATCGCCCATCTCCTGGGTATTGAGGTCATCGGGTCTTGTAGAGTTGTCGTGGTCTTCCTCAGGGGATGTGCTGGGTGGCTGCAGTGTGTTCTTTGCGTTGTACATAGTGAATTCTGCAAGGTGAAATATTCCCTAGTTTTTAACATGTCTTTATCAGTGTGTTGTGTGTTTGAAGCCACACTCATTGGAAATTACTTATTGAGGTTAGATAAGGAAATACACATAATTTTAGAATGCTGGGAGAAGTTTACCTCTCATCATATTGTTATGCCCCAGTTGGTATCAGTCACCATATAGTGTTGTCATTCAGATTTAACTGTTACCTAGTTCAGGCTAAGGTGCAAATGTTAAGGGAAATAACAACGGAATGAGGGAAGAGATGAGAGGTATCAACTGGCCTGACTCATTAAGGCACAAGAACGCAGACACTGCGCTGAATATCATAACTAGTAAAGTAACCCATTTGATCGATAAATATATAGCCAAGACCAAACCCAGTGCCTCTAGGAATAAGAGGAGATCCCTACACATGAACCATGCGGCGGTCGACAGAGTTAAGAAAACCCAGAAATTCAAGACGTGGTTTGGGTCAAACGATGAGCAGGACAGGAGGATGTATGCAAGAGCCAGAAACCAAGCAAATATAGAGTGTAGAAGGACTGAAAAGGAGTTCCACAGGCTGGTTGCAAGCGAGGTCAAGTCAAACCCAAAGGCGTTTTACCGCTATGCAAAGTCGAAATTAAAAACGCAAGTTGGAGTATCAGACCTGAGGCTTGAAGATGGTAGTTACGCAGATTCTGACCAGGATAAAGCTGAGGCATTGAACAGCTTCTTTTCCTTGGTGTTCACAAGAGAGGATGCAATTAACCTTCCTGCGTTTGAGGACAGACGGTTCGATACAGCATTGACCCACATTGTGTTCACAGAAGAGGTTATTAGAAATAAACTGTACAGGCTAAAGGTCCATAAGAGTCCCGGCCTTGACATGGTGCATCCTAGAGTGTAAGAGAGTTGTGCAACGAGCTTGCCGAGTCCCTGAAGATCCTGTTTTGTAAAAGCTTGGATGAACAAAAGGTCCATCCTATCTTCAAGAAGGGCGATCGTCACTCCACAAACAACTATAGACCGGTGAGCCTGACCAGCATAATATGTCAAGTACTAGAGAGTATTATCAGAGATGCCGCAATGGAACATCTACGAAACAACCTTGTAAAGGATTGCCAACACGGTTTTATGCCGGAGCACTCCTGCTTAACATAATTGCTCAAGGTATTGGATATTTGGACCCATATTCTGGAACGGGGTGGTAATATCGACAATATTTACCTAGATTTTGCCAAGGCTTTTGACAGTGTACCCCACGAAAGGCTGAAAATCAAACTGGAAGGGTACGGAATTTGGGGAAATGTCCTAACATGGATAGAAGACTTTCTACATGACCGCAAGCAGTGTGGTGATTAATGGCACGAAATCATCATCCGTACCTGTCATAAGCTCCGTGGCGTCACCATAGACAACAAACTAAATTGGAAACCACACGTCAGTGAAGTTGTCAAATCCTCCAGTTTCCGTCTCCACCTCCTCCGCTGACTCAAGTCCCTCGGAGTTCCTGCACCCGAGCTCCTCAGTGTTTACACAACATTCATACTTCCCAAGCTCACCTATGCCTCCCCTACCTGGTCTTCCTCCCTAAATGCCACACAATGTAAACACCTAGAAAAAGTGCAAAAGAGGGCATGCAAGATTATTCTCTCCCCTTCCTACTCCACATATCAAGAAGCGCTCAACACACTGACCCTTTCGACTCTCACTGACCATCACCACGACCTCATCTGCAAATTTGGTAAGAAGCTTCTACACCATCCTCGACACCGGCTCCTACTACCACCTGAGATCCATAGCCCGAGAATTGCTGTTCGACACCACAACCGCATCCAGCCCATACGTGCATGAACTGATCGCTATAAGAACAGCCCAGTCCCAACCATTGTAAAAATTATCAATAACTTGTAATAAACCAGTGTATTCACTTATGTTACTTGTATATTATTTGTAATTCGAAACCCATTCCCCAAATATGTAACTGTATATTTTCAGCCTTCTGGCTGCCAAGCTCTTTCAATAAACCGTTAATTATTATTATTAAGCGGGGTACCACAGGGCAGTGTATTGGGCCCATTGTTGTTTGTTTGTTTCATAAATGACATGCCTGACGTTGTACACTCCTCCATACAAATGTTTGCCGATGATGCCAAGTTATTTCGGGAAATCAAGAACCAAACGGACTGTGAAGAGCTGCAGAAGGATCTCTGTGGGCTCCAAGAATGGTCAAAGAAGTGGCTGCTGAGATTCAATGTCACGAAGTGTAAGAGGATGCACCTGGGGCGTACCAACGGTAAGGAGGCATATGATATGTCCCCACGGGATGAAGAAACTGCACTATTTGAGACCAAATGTGGGAAGGACCTAGGTGTGTATGTTGACAATAAGCTGAAGTTCTCGGGCCATTGCGAGAAGAAGGTAAATCAGGCAAATAAACTATTGGGTCTTATAAGAAGGTCGTTCAGATATCTAGACGGTCCGTCCCTCGTAACGATCTTCAAGAGTGAAGTGCTTCCCCATCTGGAGTACTGTCACCCCGTCTGGTCCCGGAGATAAGCTAGGGACTGTCAGTTGGTTGACAATGTTCAAAGGAGGGCCACCAGACTGGTGCCTGCACTTCGGCACCTCGGCTAACCTGAGAGATTGGAGCACCTGAACTTGCCTAGCTTATTCTACAGACGGGCAAGGGGAGACCTAATTGATGTGTATAAGCATCTCAAGGGGCACTACTCAGTCGAGTGTCCTTACTTGGAGCTGGCGGACGCGCGCCCCACAAGGGGTCACAGCTCAAGATTGAAGAAGCCGCAAGTCCAGAAAACTGTGAAGGCAAACTTTTTCTGAGTGAGAGTTGTGAACTCTTGGAACAATCTGCCAGAAATTGTTGTGACGGCGCCGAGTGTGAGTTCTTTCAAGACCAGACCTGACCAACACTAGAGCAGGTTTAGGTACATTCAGGAGCCGGTGCATGCCCAGTACTTGCCAACAGTGCCATTGTGAGTTTCCCTTCTTACCTCCATCCTTTGTGCGAGATCTCCTACATAGCCTACGCTACAAGCTCACACTCGGCACCGTCACAACATTCTCTGGCAGATTGTTCCAAGCTTTTACAATTCTCACTCCGAAAAAGTTTGCCCTCACTGTTCTCTGAACTTGAGGCTTCTTCAACCTTGAGCTGTGACCCGTTGTGGGGTGGACGTCCGCTAGCTCTAGGTATGTACACTCGACTGAATAGTGCCCTCCGAGATGTTTATACACTTCAATAAATTAGCTCGCCTCTCGCCCGTCTGTAGTATAAGCTAGGTAGTTGTAGACGCTCTAATCTAATCTCTCTGGGTAGCTGAGGTGCTGTTAGAACACGCACCAGTCTGGAAGCACTCCTTTGGACGTTATCTCACAGGTATAATAAGGCGTCATGATATCACGCCACAGGGTGTAAAAAGAGTTATCTTCACACAGTACCGAATTTCGTACCACAAACACAGGGACAGCATTCAGTTTATGACGCTCTGAAGGTTAAATACCTCGTATTTAATGTACCTTAACAACCTTTGGCGTCCCTGAGAGACCTCCACATGACAAAATAAGTACTATCATGGTGCGCAACTAGGATGGATCTAGGGAGGGTGGGAGTGCGGGAAGGAAGGCAAGTAGAAAGTGGGAGTGAGAAAGGGATGAAGAAAGATACCGTAGTGTGCATCATCCCCATCTGAAATGTCTAGATCAGCCGATGGGAGTATATTACTCTGTGTCTCTAATGATAAACTCCAATATCATCTTCGGAGACTGGGAAGTGAGGGGTCTAATCAAATTTCAGTTAAATTTGAACAACGATACGTGGGTGTCCAGGGCACGTCTAGAGCCTAAAGCTAGGATTTCATATATGTATTTGCAGTGCATTTGCTGTATGCTTTTGCGTTAAATTGCCCTGAAAAACGTACACCCTTGTTTCCATGTGCATGCAGCTGTCTTTCTAGCGGGAACAGTACAGAAATGATGGCGCCTAGTGCATCGAAGCTACTACGCTATTTATATGAACAGGATGATTTGCTATTAAATATCCTGGGTTTGTATAAGATCATGCGTAAATCAAAGGAAAAACGAGCAATGAAGCATAGATGGTGGGTTCATAGATTGTTGCTGAATCGAACCAAATATGGAGCCTACAGTACTCTGGTAAAAGACCTAAGCTTGGATGAAGAAATATTAAAGAAAATATATTTTCGTCTGAGCAGATAACAGTTCGCACATGTTCTTTCCCTGGTTGAGGAGGATTTGGTGAAACACTGCAGGAACAGAGAGGTCATTTGCGCCAAGGCTAGCGACTTATAAGGTGACTCATGCTTATAAATAGGAAATAATAGGAACCTTAGATAAATATTAAGTTACACAAAAATTAGTATTCCAGTGAACCTTTTATTGAGACCATGAACCTTCATTTTAGAACAGTTGTCAAAAATGTATAGATTCGTAAAATGATATATAAAGGTTTTTAAATGTATTGTATAAATGCATTACAAAAAATAGGTTGGGATATATTCTGAATGAAATCAACTTCTCGACTCAGACAAAACTTTTTCCTCGAGGCATTTTGCTGGTTGAGGAGCGCAAACAAAGGGGTAGTGACGTCACAGTATGTGATTCCCGCATCCATTTTCTTGTGGTTGCGTATTCAATCGCTACATGGAGTGATTGACTTGTACTGCAAACGCAACCGTGCCAACGGAAACAACCGTGTACATTTCATTGTGATCTATTTTTGGCGCTAACCCTACCGCGCGAATGGAATCCTAGCTTAACACCTTTAAAATTCTACATAGTAACTTCGGTGGCATTTGCGGACAAGTTAAATACTTGATATGATTTATGTATCTTCAAAGTTACGAACAAACAGCTTTCGTTTTTCATTATTTATTATTTAAAGATATTTATTGTGTACATTATTAATCAAAACGCAAATTGTCATGATAACTACAACAAGAGATTACTCTACGGTTGTAGTCCAGTAAACGTCGATTACTTCACAGCAGTTGCGCAAACCCGTAAAAGGATTTGTGGTATTGTGGGGTTCAAGATGTTTGGTGTTCACTCAGGATGGGATGGAGAAAGGAAACTCACAATGTGCTCTCATGTATACATGTTGTATTGGATGTACAATGCAGCTTGGTGCTGGGAAGGCAGCATGGTTACAAGCGTGATGTAGAGAGAGCTGGTTGGTGAGGATGCTCAGAGGAGGACAGCTTGTGGGTCGCCATGCTCGCCGGCAGGAGCGAGGACCGCCAGGCAGGCGGAGGAGGAGGTGTTACTGGCTGGTTGGTGTAGGTTGAAAGAGAGAGAGCTGGTTGGTGAGGATGCTCAGAGGAGGACCAGCTTGTAGGTCGCCATGCTCGCCGGCGGGAGCGAGGACCGCCAGGCAGGCGGAGGAGGAGGAGGTGTTGCTGGCTGGTTGGTGTGGGTCGAAAGAGAGCGATCACCACGAGGTCAGGTCTTAAATAGCGGGGGTTGGCGTGGCTTAGTAGTTGACCCCCGCTCCGTGGGCGGCGCTGGTTGACCTAGACCACGAGGCATACATTGGGGAATCCGTGGGGTTGGCTACGCAGCGACAAACAGCGTTTGTAGGGGAGAAATCCACTACAGTATAAGTCGTCTACTGTGCGTGGGGTTGGATGAATAAGCAATACCGTATTCTCGCTAAGCTACGCTCATCCACATTCCAGCAGATCCTCAAACATTCCTACGATGATTATTCCTCATAACTGGTTTGATTTGTCAAAAGCACGAAATTAATATTACGTCCAAAATATTCCATCACAATCACAGTGAGACTTCTTTAAATTGATTGCAAACATTTCCTCAGCACCAAACTTAATTGAAGCAAAATTCATTTCGGAATATTTAATACCTGGAATCTTAACTGTCTATATTAATTTTTTTTATACTTGTATTGCGTACTTATTGTTTGTTTATTCGTACTGTCTATACATACTACTGAACAGTCAACCAAATTATGCAATGACCCCCACCCTGGGCCTCGTACTGGCAATAGTACTCGGTAAAGTAAGGCTGTATGGAAAGGTGATTGCGGATATATTTTCGGCTGTATCACTGTCAGGATAAATATTTAAAAACTAAAACAAAGGTAGCATTTTAATAATAACAAACTAATCATTATTAAAGATCACGAGAAGTTTCCAAATGTTCGTATACTTGCTTAAAAGACGAAATTTATATTAATGAATTGGCAACTCAACTACAACTACAGCTGCCACAAGATTCTTACATCAAAGTTTCATTATTTAATTTAAGCAGAGTTGACGAGTGTCTGGTGATGTAAGGGACATTAGTCCCCTGACCTTAATGATGTTGGAAGAGCTGATTTATGACACACGGCGGGTCCAATCAGTTACCTCATAGACTGAAGCTAGGACTCGGTTGTAGTAGATTTATTGGCCCATGCTAGGTCTTTCTACAGTACACATAATCGTTATCACTTATATATCCACCCAAATTTGTATTTGAAACTTTCCAACATGATTGGGTTGATGTTTGGTAACGTACTATCCATCCACAACGATTTCTCAACCAGTGTTTACCTATTTCTCACTTAAATATATAAAAAAAATTATCTAAAACCATTTACACGTGTTCGCTCCTGATTTGATAGTTTAAGTATTTCATTTATTTCAAACTAGACACCTCGCTTTACGTCTCAAGAAAATTAAAATTCAGTTTTTCATAATGTCCTCGAGAACACATAAATAAAGGGAGGAGAAAAAACATAGAGGTGAAGAAGGTACTAATTGTGTAAATTCTTCTTTACCCTTAAAAACATAAGCTGGGCATGACTCAGATTTCTCTAGAATTGTAACGGAACGTTGAGGAGAGCCATAGGCAGCGTACGCAGGAGAGATGATGGTTAACTTACTTTTAGCCTCTTCGCCACTGATTGGCTCGTTGGCCGCTTGGGCGATCGGTCACGTCTCTAATTACTTTTCCTTTTCATTTATATTCTTCACCAAAAGATCGGCTCGCTAGCCACCCGGGTGATCGGTCACGTCTCTGTCACGCACTGTTGGCAAATACTGGGCATGCACCGGCTCCTGAATGTACCTGAACCTGCTCCAGTGTTGGTCAAGTCTTGTCTTGAAAGAGCTCACTCGGTGCCGTCACAACACTCTCTGGTAGATTGTTCCAAGAGTTTACAACCCTCACTCCAAAAAAGTTTGCCCTCACGGTTTTCTGGACATGCGGCTTCTTCATTCTTGAGCTGTGACCCCTTGTGGGGCGAGCGTCCGCCAGCTCCAGGTAAGGACACTCAACTGGGTAGTGCCCCCTGAGTTGCTTATACACCTCAACTAGGTCCCCCCTTGCCCGTCTGTAGTATAAGCTAGGCAAGTTCAGGCGCTCCAAACTCTCAGGGTAGCTGAGGTGCCGAAGTGCAGGCACCAGTCTGATGGCCCTCCTTTGAACATTTTCAACCAACCGACAGTCCCTAGCATATCTCGGGGACCAGATGGGGTGACAGTACTCCAGATGGGGAAGCACTTCACTCCTGAAGATCGTTACGAGGGACGGACCGTCTAGATATCTAAACGACCTTCTTATAAGACCCAATAATTTATTTGCCTGATTTACCTTCTCACAATGGCCCGAGAACCTCAGCTCATTGTCAAAATACACACCTAGGTCCTTCTCACACACAGTCTCAACTAGCGCAGTTTCTTCATCTCGTTGGGACATATGATACGCCTCCTTACCGTTGGTACGCCCCAGGTGCATCCTCTTACACTTCGTGACATTGAAACAAGATATGGCGTAATGGATAGAACAGCTTGGAAGCTTTTGTCTTGTGAAACTAACCAAGGACAGGGTTACCATTGAGTGTCGGGCCAGAAGCAGCGTTTTGGCCCGGGGCGGTTGTAAGAGAGTTCTGCCGTTTTGTACGGGTTGCGTCATGGTCTTGGCGCTGGGAATTACAAACCTGCCCAACCCCACTACTTGTTCATACGACAGTCAGTTCGAGGTGTAGAACTATGTAGTCAATCCGTATCTTGTCTAATTGTGTAGACTCTATCTACAAGTTTATTAGTTTGATTTTTTTTTAATTATCAATGTCACTCACGGGGTATTATAAAGACATGCATCAAATCAATCACTGCACTAGACCGAAGGAAAAATCAGAAGCACCTGTTTCACTAGGACGCCGCAGGATAATCGCAAGACGTTAATGAATGGTGTGTAGCATCCGATACACACTCCCTGACACACAACACTGACTCCAGCTCCGCGCGCTCCTCACAAACTCACCTCGCTAGGGGAGGAGTTAAGGGGGGGGGGGTGAAGTTCCATGAAATCAGCTAGCTGGTTTGGAGATTTATAAGCCACGAGGGCAGATCCCGAGTAATGTTCTGGTAATACAGGCGGCGATTCTTGACCAGATAGAACCAGGAATTTTTATGGGATATTGGAATGAATTTACTTTATTTCAACAACAACAACAACAACAAGTGTTAATAATAACGATGATGATACTAATTTAGTATATAAAACACAGTGCCTGTTCTTGGTTGGTCCACCATTTCCGAATGTGGAACCCACTCTAAATAAAAAAAATCTCTTTTTGTTTCTTTGCGTCTGGTCTTGTTAATCGTAGATTCACTGATGAATAGCCAGCTGCGTAGAGCAAGCTATTCAACCGGTGACGGCTGAATAGCCGGCTGTCTATGTCGCCGTTCTGGCTACGTAGATAACTGAGTATCCACTGCGTAATTACTAACCATTAAATCTCTGGGAAAGCTATTGTTCTCTCCTCGGAGTGCCAAAGCCTAAGATTGAGCGCCGTGCTTTCGTATCTTGTTCGGTTGGATCTGTTAATTTGACTTGATTACTGTTTACTATATAGTTAGACTCGTTGCTGGAGGTTCCCATGAAGTGCTTTATTTTCTGCCAGAACTGCTTCGGTTTATGGTACAGTAGTTTCCTTCCGTTTCTGAAATCAGCTTCTGCCAGTTCTTGTTGTATGCTTCTTTTGAAACGTTTTTTTAACTGTTCGTGTATTATGTTGTATAGCCGTCTGTGTTCTGGTGTCCATCCTTGTTGTGTGATTAGTTTAATTAGGTTGCTAAATTGTGTCTGTATGATTCTTGATTAGTGTGAGTATTGAGGGTGTGGTAATGTTCGGTGAGTGGTCTTGGGTATGTTGTGTTCCATGGCCTGGCTAACGTGCTCGTACCATGTGTCCAGTGATAGGTCTATTAGAGAAGTGTGCCTGTTTTGTAATTGTATGGGTTGCGGGTTGTTTAATTCTTGTTTGAAGTTTTCCCAGTTAGCCCGGTTATAGTTGAATCTTAGCCTGGCCGGGATCTGTATTGGGGCTGTGGAGAGTGTGGCTATGATAGGGAGATGATCACTATTGGGCCGGGTTCGAGTAGTATGTTTAGGTGGTGGTGTTGATTTGTTTACACGAGATCTGGGTATCCTGTGTGGCCTGCTCTGATGTACGTGGGGAATTCCGGTCCGAGGTGTACCACGTTGCCGTGGCTCACTAGTGGCCTACTGCGTTGTTGGTGTGGTGTCCTAGTATGCGGTGTCTAGCGTTGAGATCGCCCAGAAAGTAGGCAGGTATATTCCTCCTCATTAATCTGAGCATGTCTGCTATTGGAAAGATAGGTCGTCTTGGAGCGAGGTAGCAGGTGCCGATTATGATTGGACCCGTGGTGCTGTTAATTTCAATTGCCAGAAAGTTTTCTTGAAATGTATCATGGATTTTATGTTTTATACTTCTATTAATTGCTATGGCAACTCCATTTTGTAATGGATTTTGGCTGGGTTTTTTTTGGTATACTGTTTAATTGAATATCTTGATTTTATTTGAATTACCCTTGCCGTGAGAATTTAATATGATGACGTCTGGGTCCAGGGTACGATATATGTTGTATAATTCGTGAGCTCTTGGTGTGGTCCAGGTCAGTACTTGTACATTATATTGAATTATTTTAAGTCTGTTGATTATGAATGGTGATGTCTCGAACTTATTTGCGGCATTTTAGATCGATGTTCTCCTGAAGACCTCCTCTCCGTGTGCAGGCCGAAGCGAATTTTTCTGTATTTGGATTGCTCCACCTTTTCTATTCTATTATATTTGGTCAGGATTCTTCCTCTCTTTATTAATGTTTCTATATGGTGATCTTCCAGATTCGTATCTGTATATTTATATTTTACTTTTCCTTCCCTTATCTCTGTCAGTAGTCTTTCGGTTGAGACTATTTGGGGGGCTGAGCACTTGTAAAACCTAATACCGGTTTCCTCCCCGAGGTCCTGATTCTCAGCCATTTTTCTTGGTGACGGTGGTGGTGCTATGATTCCCATTTCGTTCTTTTAGGGGTGCTATATATGATCGCTTGTTCAGGTTGTATAACAGGTTCATGTTGTAAAATGGGTTCCTGCTCCTCTTCGTCTTCTTCCATCCCCTGTTCACTGCTATCTGGTTGGGGGTTGTCGGAAGTGGCTTGTGATTGGGTGACATGCGCCTGACTGGTGGTTTCCGCTGGTTTGTAGATCCGGTTGAAGATTTCTGAGGAGGGAACGTCGTTGGGGAATTCCATGTCTGGGAGGTTATTTGCCGCGAACATTTCCTTTACCCTTTTAGCAAAACATCCTGGTTTGGCTATATTCAAGAGGTGGGCGTGTATTATTGCCGTCATGATTTTAACCGACAGATGACTACCCAGGTTGAGCACTATAGGTTGTTGGGCTGGGGATTGTGAGGCAACCTTTTCAAGGACTTTAGTTGTTTCCTTTTTTAATTTGGCTACAGCCGAGTAGGTCTTGTTTTGCTTTTCCCCTGCCCTTTCCTTTTCAATTTCCCTCCTTTCTTTTACGATTTCTTTCCTTACTGGACAGCGTGCTGCCAGTGTTCTGTGGTCCCCTTGGCAGTTCAGGCACCTAGGAATTTCTCTACTCTTGCACTCCAGAAATGTAAGTCCCACTTCCCCGCCTTCGGAGCAGTATTTAGTGTTTTTGTTAGGGCAGTCCGTGGCTAAATGTGTATATTTGTAGCAGTTCCAGCAAGGCGTGATGGGAAAAAAAATTTCCTGTTCAACTTGGTTGCTACCTATATGGTAGTAGGAGAGACAGAATCCCTCCTGCACTGCCTTTTGTGCCATTCTTATGTCCTGAAACCTAATTTTCAGCATATATGGTAGTTTAGGTAGTTTAACTACTTCCTCTACTTTGGCCCATTTGTTTCTTTGTTCCAGGTCTAATTTCAGTTGTTGTTCACTAGTTTCTTCTGTGATGGTTCTGTCCAGTCTTTTAACTACTACAGTCTTCCTGGCTCTTAGTTATGGTGGGATTACGACTTCGAATCGCTGCTTCTTCAGATACTTTATGCTGTCGTTAGATAGCAGGGAGTCAACGTCTTCTTCATTAAGGCAGAGGGCGATGAATGAATCCTTGGTGGTAATGAGGCTCGTAATCTTTATGAGTAGTGTTGCTCCGAGCAGTTTGGCTAGTGAGTTTTTCCATGGTTCGGCTACACCCCCGTCAAGGGAGCGTATCCTTACCCTGTGTGCCCTCATTGTGGAGGGGGCAAGGTGGACAAGCCACCTTTTGGAGTACAGTAGGTAGCCTACCTAGTCTGGGTGAGTTAACCTACCACAGGAATTACAACACCTCCCACCGCCTCTTGTCGGTCGAGTGGTCGAAAGGTGGTTCCTGTGTCTCTCCCAGAGCCCCGTCAGGGGAGCCTACTTCCCTAGTGTTTATATAATCTACTCACTTATAGGCGTGAGCCCTAGTGTACCTACTTGGGGGGGAGGGGGGAATGCGGGATATGCGACCCCCTTCCCGGGTGGACCCGCACGATCACGGTTACCCAGGAAGATTCGGCGGAGGGGTGGGTTCTGCGCCTTCTCCCTTTCGTGTTCACAAACTCCTGGGAGGGAGGTGAACAGTTACAGGGAGGACCCAAGGACGAGTACACCCCTAGGATGCAGGTCCCCAGGCCAGAGCGAGATAGAAGGAAGAATAGCCACTGGTGCAAGAAACACCAGTGGGGTCGCGGCTCAACTCCGCTGCAGGAAGCCGTTACAGAGCACCCAATTTGAGCCGCCTCTGATCAGGAGACACCCTTGATCAGTGGGGAGACACAGAGAAGGCGTTGTCTGGAGCAAGCTTCCCGGATGTTTGGGTGGTGGTTAGTGGCATCAAGTAATGGTTATTTGCGTTCCAACGGTCGTCAACAGTTTTGGACAAAGGCTGGCTGGCTGGCTGGCTTTGGCAGTGAAGGGTCTTCGGCGGAGTCATTAGTTATGAGGTGAAAGAAGATTATTAGGGGTTGAAGAAAATGTGGTGAAACTGAAATACAGTAGGAGTAGAAAGAATCTGGGCTCAACCAGATCGCTTCATCTTTCCTATTGGTGTTTTATCTTTATGTTGCTCCCTTGGGTCGTCAGACCTTTGTATTAATATTGGTTTATTTATATAGTGCTGCTTATTATTAATATTTTTTTTATATATACTGCGATGGAGTTAGTGAGCCCGCCCAGGTCCTTGTGTTGCTGGGAGGGCAGTTGCATTTTTTTTTTTACTACGATAGAGTTAGTGAGCCCGCCCAGGTCCTTGTGTAGCTGGGAGGGTAGTCACAGTTTTTTTTCCTAAGGTGTTAGTTAAATGTTAGTTGTGTTAGTCTAAAGGTACACTGTATGGAGAGGCCTGCCAGGCTCTTAGTGGAGCTGGTAGGTCACTCTCATCTTTTATTTTCTCTATTAATGTTCTATGTGTATATTGGGGCAGGAGGTGGTTCAATTACTTTCTTCCTGGCTGATTTAAACCAACTGTGTTCTTGGAATTCTTCATTATCTATATTATTTATCCAGTTTTGGTAAGTTTCTGTGTTGAGTTCAGTCACTTTGCTCCAAATATTTGCGGCTTTGTTGTGTATTTCTACATTGATTGCTAAAAAGTTTGCTTTCTTGTGTAGCTGTTCATTATTGATGTGGTCTGTGTATTTTATGTTACAAATAAATCTGTTTGTAACCTTTTAATGCTCGTTTTACTAAGGGTGTTCAATGGGATGGGTGGGTAGTCCATAATTGATTTGACAAGGGCTATATAAATCTTTCTTTTGTTATTAATGCTAAGGTTCTTAAAACGTTT